GATGAAGGGAGTAAGTAAAACGACATTCAAGGTTACCTCAACGATCTAAATCAGCCGAGGGAAAGTAATCAACGACATCGATATATGTATATATGGCGAGGCGGCCCATGGGCGTGTACGGCACGTGACACGCACGCCTTTTGGCACGGCCCATGGGCCGCCTGCACCTGGCCGCCACCCGTGCCCGTGCCGGCACAACACGGAGGTCTGTAAAGCGCATGCATGGGCATGAGGCACGCCCATGACACGCAGACGGCATTGCAGGCAGACACGGCGAGGGCGGCGACAGTGGCCGGCACGGCCGCCAGCCAACGGCCTCTTTTGGCCCAATGCCCACGCCCACACCCCGCCACCCCGCGCCATATATAAGCCAAGCGTCACGCAGCCCCCCGCCCCCCCGTCCCTAACCCTAATTCTTTTGCCCCCTCCGCCTCACGCGCCAGCATGCCACCTACGCTCGACCTCTCGAACTCGATCCGCGCCGCCGTCGTTACGCCTTGAGCTCGCCCGGCCTGCTCGGTGACCTCGACACCTCACCTCGCGCGGCCACTTCTTCTCCTCCCTCCAGCGCAACTGCGCGGTCAGCAGCTCTCCTCCGCTCTCGCTCTCGAAGTCTCGATTTGAAGTCGAGATTAACTCGATCCGATCCGATCCGTCGCGCCGTTCGACTTGACCACGCAGCCCTCCTTCTCCCTCTCGTACCTCCTCCAGTCCCCCTCCTCCTCCGGTGTACCATGTGAGTCGTTGAGTCAGTATATTCTTCGCCGCCACTCGCCGTGGCGCCGTCGGTCTAACGGTGGGTGCTTGTCTCGTCGTTCTCTGCTTGGATGCTGGCTCCTTGGCTTCTTCTCCGGCACTGGGCTCCGGTGGCGTAGGTCAGTCAAAACCCTAACCCTAGCATGTTCATGTTCTTGTTCAGTTGTTCTTCATCTTCTTCTTCTCTGCATCTTCCTGAGTTCTTGTGTTGTGTTCTAATGCTCTTCTTCTTGTGCTCATGTGCTTCGCAGGTTGGTGCCTGACGCTTTGTCCTCCTCCTCTGGAGGCTCGATGGCAAAGCCGTCCGGTTTGAAGCGCCCATGCCCACCGTCGAGGAACGGTCTTTGAGCTGCGACTGGGTGGAACCAGCCTCCCCAACCCCAACCTCCTATGGCCTCGGTGGCGATGCGATGCTGCTCGGAGATGAGTACAACCACCGTGCCGACGGCGAGCACCCCGAGGCCGAGGAGGCCGTGGAGGAGTTGGAGATTGAGAACGACGACGACATCACCGAAGGCGCAGCTGCGCTGTTCGGCGAGCACCCGATCGATGTCGACTCCGGCGACGGCGATGGTGGGGTGGACACCTCTCAGTCTCAGGACACCAATGGTGCCTCATCTGGTAAGCTCACTGCTGCTTGTTGGGAGGACTTCGTCCCGATCTTTGACGAGTCGGGAAGATTAGAACTCATGCCATCTCAGTAAGCGGTGTGGTAAGAAATTTGTTGCTAGGGCCAATATTGGCACTGGATCCTTGAATAGGCACATGGCAACATGTAGGAAGAAGCGGGACAATGATCGTAGGGTTCATCTAGGCTTTCTATGAATGCTAATGGGTTGCATAACTGGTTTATGATGTCGCTCATGCTCGTAATGAGTCAGTCTTGGGTTGATTGCTAGGGTGGATCTTCCATTAGGTGTTGGTGACACACAGTGCTGGGAAGATTACATTGAATGCTCATAATCCCGCTTTCAGAAAGATTTCTAGGCGGAGACCACTACTAGGGACATGCATAAGTTGTTTGTCAAGAGCGTGCTTTGCTTATGCATTCTTTCTTTGCTCGCTGTTCATCTGTTTCCATAACATCTCGATATCTCCGTCCAGTAATGCTAAGGAAGATTATGTCTCTGTTGTTGCTCATTATGTTGGTGCCGATTGGGAGTTGCATAAAAAAGGTTATAGGGTTTAGGCTGATTGAGGCAGCACATACTGGTGACAACATTGCTGAGAAAATTTGTAGTGTGGTTGAGGAGTTTGGTTTGATTGATAAGGTCTTTCTTTGTGAGTCTTGATAATGCTTCGCTTAATTCTAAGGCTTTTGATATCTTGCAACCTATGTTGTTTGGCTACTGGCTCTTACCCAACACCTACTAAGGAAGATCCTCACAAAGTCAAGTACTTGCTTGTGCATCAATATTGTATGCATGCCATATCATTAACTCCGATTGTTAAGTCCGGCTTTGAAGAGGTTCAATCCTTATCTTGAAGCTTTTAGGACTGCAATCAACTTTTTGAATTCATCTAATCAAAGAATTGCATTGTTTAAGAACTATTGCATTGCTAGGGGTGTCGGACCTAGAAAGTTTGGATTGGATATGGATGTTAGGTGGAATTCCACCTATCGATGCTTAAACACTTGCTTGCCATATAGAGATGTGTTTTACGTGTGGATTGAGTCAAATTATAGTGAGCAACTGTTGACTCCCCAAAGACCTTTGGTATGTCTTTGATCGATTATGAAGTTCTGGAGATGTTTTATGATGCAACTTGTTGCTTTGTCTGGGTGTTTACTATCCAACTGCTCCACTTATGATGCATCATATCCTTGACTTTGCCGAGCATTTGCATAAAGTGAACTTGATCCTGGATTTAGAAGTATTGCATCTCCTATGAAACTTAAGTTCCTTAAGTCTTGGGGGACATCCATTGTTTGTATTCTTATGCATTCATTCTTGATCCAAGAGCTAAGATGAAAGGCTTCTTTAATGTGCTTGAGTTACTTGCTAAAACAGATTTGGTACCCCTTATGGTGTTTACTATGGTGATGTGAAAGAGTCCATGACTAGATTGTTTAGCAAGTATGAGCAGAGATATGGTGCGGCTCTCGTTCTCAAAGGCCTCCTATGCCTAGTGCTCCTTCGGAAAAAAGAAGCGAGGCATGGGGAAGATCTATGGTGGTCTGGTGCTTCCTCCTCTAGCTGTTCCCCACTTCATCCTCTACATCTGGTGTCAATGAGCTGATAGCTTACTTGGGCCATGATCCATGCATCACCGATTGGGGGAGTCCTTTGACATCCTGTTGTGGTGGCGTGACCACAAGTGACCTACCCCATCTTATCGATAATGGCTCGCGATATCATATCTGCATTCTGTATCTACTATGTCCTCCGAGTCTTGTTTCAAATTGTCTGACAAGGATACTTGAAGACCGGCGGCGCTTGTTGCTGAGCATGTGGAGATGCTCACCGCATCAAGGACTGGGATCAAGCGACAAGGAAGGAACAAAGATGCACCGAGGACACGGCAACCGGGAGGAGCTGTTCGACAACTTGTACTGGATGAAGGCGAAGGAAGCGGCGGAAGCGGCAGCCGGCAAGGCGTGGCCAATCTTCTTTGGTCTTTGGTCTTTGGATAGAAGAAGAGAACCTCTACAAAAGGAGAGGTAGAGTACAATCAAAATTCTAAAACTTGTTCCATTAGCTTGTTCCATTAGCTTGTTTACATTACATCTTCAAGTCCATGACCATCAATCCATCATGATCCATTTTGCGGTTGATTGCACTTTTGGGAGTGGTCGCCAGTGATTCACCATGATGAAGCTTGAAGCATGAAGTGATGAAGTAAGGACATTTGTTTGCTTCTTGTTGCCACAATGCCACTTGTTGGGCTTTTGTAATAGGATAGAAGAACATTTGTTCTTTGGTCACGCCACCGCCACATATGATGTTAGCTATTGTAATAGGATGAACTACTTAGACTTGTGCTTGAACTAAGACTTGACTACTTGAGCTAGTTGTACTCTTTTCCTTTCTAGGGTTTCTCACAAGGGTGAGTTTTACCTAGAAAGGTTTTTAATGAGGCAAGATTGCACAATGACTCTTTTGACTTTTGATAATCATTTTCATTATATCTTCTCGTTGTTCTCGTTTCTTTACTACTTTATAATTACGTGACATGTGATCATTTGAAGTTTTGAACTTAGACTTTGGAATTTTCTCTTGATTTTGAGTGTTTTTACATTGATGGGCCGTGGGCGACACATGCTGACCCAAAATGGCCGTGGCACATGGGCGACACGGCACGGAGAAACGGACCCATGTGCCGTGTCATGGGCGAAGGCCTGGCAACCCATGGCACGGCTAGGCACGGCACGGCCGGCAAAGCGGCACGCCCATGGACGCAGCAGTGTTGCGGTGCTGAAGACGGGCCGGTTGCAACCGTGCCAGCGTGTTGCGTGTCGGCACGGCACGGTGGCCAACTATAAGTATATGTGAGTTCCAAAACATTCAACACAGCCTGCAGACGGACACTTGCAATATACTGTAGGCTGAACCAGTCACGGACTGCTTGCAGAAAAGAGCACCAAAAAAAGAAAAAAAAGTGGACACTTACAAACGTGCGCCACTGCATTCTTCACAAGTCAAATTTGCGCCAGCGATAGATCTGCGATCGCCAGGCGAGACCTGGCTTTCCAGTCAAACAAGCGTCTCTCACAAGAAATACATGGATGGATCAAGGCACGAATTCTTTCTGACTTTTGGGATTTCCTGACCCAGATTTACCTCAGAGACGCACCTAAAATATGCAAACAGCTTGACCTGGGAATCTTCTCTAAAAAGAAACAACGGGCCATGCTTTTGATTGGCATCTCCCAGTCTTATTGTCAATATACAACAGGATAAGTGTTCACACATGACACGGTAAAGCGAGATGGAACTTCCCACAAGTTACATCTTACGCGCTGCTCCAGGCTATGACATTGACAACTAGAGTGCTTAGACTACCGAACTGTATCGGCAATCATCGAATCATCAAGAGTACTCGATCAACATATATATGATACATTTACAGTGCAGGAGTACTTATTTTGTGCCGTGAGAAAAGTTTCAAACGGTGGTAAACACACATACTGATCGCTACTTCTTCTAGGCCAACTCCTCCCAAAGGGAACCTTAAGTAGTGGAGTTGAACATTACCATGAGAAGACATCTGTTGTTGGTGCATTCTTAGGAGAAGACCATGTCTTATTTATCTGCCAGTTGGTTGTGTAAGAAGTCAAGAACCGAGAGGCGCTGCAAATGTGCATGATGAAGGTTAGTTCAGAAAAACAGATACAGGATGAGAGGAAGAATAATGAGGATCAATAATAGCTACCCGTCGTTCAAGGCTAGCTTGTTCAGAATCCAGCTTCAACTTCTCAAGGCATTGAATTGCTTCCTCAAAGCCCTCAACTGCGGCGCTTTCATTCCCAAGATTTCTATCCACATCCGCGACTTTGGCAAGAGATGTTGCTAGATCAATGACCTATATCCAAACATTGCAAATTAAAATACCATAGCACACTATCTAGAAGCAAACCACTCTCTGAATCATGTGGCAATTCTATGCAACAGCTTAACTCAAATAGAAACAGCTAAAATCAAGCTTGCATGTTGAAACAAAACTATTCTCAAACAGAAAAGTTTCGCCAAATGCAAGCCCCCCCACCCCCCTCCCCCCCAAAAATAAATAAATAAATAAAAGTTCAAATTCAAGTAGTGCAGCTTGACCCAAAAGAGACATATTTGGATCCTAGCAAGGACATGATTTGACTAAACACATGCAGTGAAGCAGTTTTCACATATTTTGACTGAAAATTATTGATTTAGGCCACCAGTTCAAAAAGAATAGGTCAGAAAAGTACAAAAAGTTCGCTACTATCCAACTACGACAGACTAACATTTTCTCCAGAAGAACAGTAAAGGTACTATTGTGCCAATTTTCCAGATCATTAGTTTTGTTGCTCCCCCTCTTCCCTCTTCCCTATCACATCACTTCCACGTAGCATTTCACAGATAATCCTCCATTCTAACTAAACGTTCTACCATATGTGCATGTCAGCATGTGCTTCCCTCCATGTGTACTGCTGCCGTTGTGTTGATATGAATATGTTGTCATGCCATGCGTGCCAGTGTGTCCCTTCGTCCATGTGGCTAGCCAACCAGCCTGCAAGACATCTAATGACAAGCACCTTACAGCATCTGATCTTCTCTACATGTTATCTAATAACCCAAACTACAGATAAATGCAGGGCTACAGGCTTTGTTGTTGTTGTTGTTACAGATAAATGCAGGGCTATTGAAAATTTTATCCGTCAGGAGTGACACAAGAAAAAAAATTTGTATCCTGAAGGTATATATAAGCCAATTGATCGGAACTAAATGCACATAGATATATAGGTCTGTGCGAACATATCCTAATCATCCTTGGACTGTCTTCAATATACCAGTCCAAAAATCTGTCCGAGCCTTCTTATCTATTGTGGTCATTTCTGTGGTTGGTGGTGCTGCGACCCTATTTTGGACAGGCAGATGGATATTTGGCCAAAGCATTGCTGATCTTGCCCCTCAAGTTCTGGCCTTGGTTCCCACAAAGAAGAGGAACAGGCAGACTGTTCTTGAAGCTCTCACGATCGAGTGATCATGCCTGGGTGCACTACATTCAGGGTGCCCTGTCTGCTGAGTGCTGAGTTCTTTTCTGAATACTTCCCCTTTGGGACATCATCTCTGAAATTGTTTTACAGCGGTACAGCCAGATGTGGAAGACTCAAGTTTGGAGGTTCTCTTGTGATGGCCATTATTCACCAAAATCGGCCTACGAAAGCATGTTTCAGGGCACTGTTCTATTTAGTCCATTTGAAAGAATTTGGAAATCTTGGGCACCTGGCAAATGTCATTTCTTCATGTGCCTAGTAGTGTGTGATAAGTGCTGGACTGCTGATCAGCTTGCAAGGAGAGGTCTTCCACATCTGGCCTGCTGCCCCTCTGTGACTAGGAAGAAGATATAAAATGCCTAATGACGACCTGCGTCTTTGCTCGTGAATTTTGGTTGTTTCTCCAGAGTCAGGTCGGCTTGCGAAGTCCCACTCCCCAACCTGATGACTGTTCTTTTGATGATTGGTGGGATAAAAGCTCTAGTGTGCTGGCTGACCATTTAAGAAAGGGTCTCAACTCTATTATCATCTTAAGGGCCTGGTCCTTGTGGAATCTTCGCAACCGCTGTATTCTTTATGGTGATTCTCCTAACTTGGTTAGAGCCCTGTTGCTCGCCAATGAGGAGCTTCATTTCTAGGAGACGGCTGGGGCATGAGGAGTCAACTCCCTCTTAGCCCAAGGGATGAATGTGGACTGATTTCTAGTAGGGGTCATTTCTTTTGTATGTAAAAGGCACGTCTTTTCTGTTTTATAAATCCTAGTGATGTATGTTGGTGTCATGGTGTGGCTTTGTATGGACTCTTTTCTCATTTTTTTTCTTCTTAATATAATGATATGCACCTCTCTTGCGTGTTCGAGAAAAAAAAGTCACAAATTTTTTTAATGTTTTGTCTTGTGCAAATGCCACCATCGGGCCAAAAATAAGACACAGCGTTCATGTTAATGTATAGCTAGATGTCTTTTGTACAATGTTTTTTTAAAAAAACAATCAGATCAAACAAGATTAATACAGTCATATCATGCTCCTTTTCAGAACTTCTTTGTCTGAAGTCGACATAACCAATAACTAATCAATTTTATCAGGCAAGGTAGTTACATGTGATTAGGATCTTTAGGATTACGGTTTCCGTACAAATAGAGATAAGCTACTCCCTCCATTCCAAATTACAAGTCGTTTTGGCTTATCCAGACATAGCGTATATCTAGATGCATAGCAAAACCTACGTACTTATAAAAGCCAAAATTACTCATAATTTGGAACTGAGGGGGTAAGTATTCTTAGTTTGTTACCAAGTAATAAGTCAGCTGGTTGGCTAAGGGCAATGAGGCGCCTAATCTATAAAGATTGACATAGGGTGCGGTGTATCGCAAAATTAAGCAAAGAATTATCAGGAGAAATCCACCCTCTACCTCAAACCTTGGGTTTGGGTGCGCTATCACCTTGGCAGCACCCGATATCAAGTGTACGGTTCAGCGTCTGTTTACCAAACACTTCGAATTCCTTCATCCCCCGTAGCTCTCGAATATCTGGTTTCTGATACTATATCTCTCAATTCAGCATGCTTGTCAGACAAACCCACTTATCATGTGAAATCTTTAGTGACACATACCCCCCCCCACACACACACCCCACACCCACACCACCCACCCACCCACATTATACTTTGCATTGTACTAGTTCCATGATGTGCATGTCCATAAGTACAAAATCCTTTGCAGTGCAAGACAACAGCGTTCCTGTACCACATCACCCAAGAGTTTAAGAATAGTACAGGTCGCCCACAATGTACCTGAGAAGCCACTGCAGAGTGTTCTTTTACTGCATTTCTGCGAACATCCAATGAACGGGCATAGTAGTTTCTTGCAGATTGGAGATCGCCATCATAGTACCGAAGGTCACCAATTTTATTTAGCGAAACAGAGAGAGTATGAACCAGCTGCAGATGAACATTAAAGATAAATCAGCATGCAGTATTTTCAATGTTGTTACAATTACACTAAAATTGAATATAACCTCAAGATCTTTTGCAGGGGTTTCGAGAGGAACTCAGCACTTTCTTCATAGTAAGTGATTGCTGAAGGAACATCTCCCAAGGTCCGACTGAAAACACAGTACAATGATAAGGATGCAGTGTGGAATGAGTTCCATGATTAAATGATTAACAAAATAAGCAAAATTATGTTGATCAACACTGAATGAAGTACAATATAATTATATGGAGAATGACTGAATGAGGCATGGTACTATAACAGTGATGGAATGAATATTCACTAATGATAAGTAGCAAAATAAAGTCACCACAGATTCAGAGACATATCAGATACATCAAAGCAATCAGATACATGAAAGCAAAAGGAACAGTAAGACTTTACTTTTCTTAAATGGAAAAAGATTTCAGGTAGTTGAAACTTAGAACAATCTGATACATGAAAGAACTAACAAGAATTGCTCTTTGAATGAGGACAACTACGCAGGAACCTAGCTCAATATAGAGGTAAAATATCAATGTAACATCTGCAGAAAAGAAACATATTTGCTCCTTATACCAGAATGCACTCTTTTAGAGCCTAGACCAACACACTCCTATATATAGAAGGCGTAGCAAAAGAAACTAATTGGTAGAAAGATCTGGTGTGTTAAAACAATAGTAAGCGTCTTTTATTTTCTAATCCTGTTTAACTTCGCCATAGTATTTTCTTAGTCTCATGGAAGTGGAAAAAAACTTCTTAAGGGAAATAGTTAAGGGCGAACAGACATACCAGCAGTCCCCAAGCATTCCTAATACAGCTCCAAGCTGTGAACATAGGTCTAGGTTAGCTTCTGAAGATTTCAACTCCTCCCTGATGTCCTCCACACACATAGTAAGCCTTGATTTTGCACTTTCAATGTTCTGGCGCGAAAAGCCTGGAGATGCAACAGTTAGGGCATTGCTGTAACATCAATATCTTAAATAGATCCATGAATAATAGAGAACAATTAATTCTGCAAATTTTGCAGGTTCAAGAATCTAGTGTTCAATATAAGAGGCTAAAAAGAAGTTGATTTAATTACTGACCCTCATAGCTTGCTGCACCAGAAAAGCTCCTCTCTCCATGGAGACATCCTCATATATGACTTTATTCTTGCCACCTGCTGCTTCTACATCCCCTGTAGCATGTGATCGCTTGATTCTGGCATGGCCATCAATGAAGCGGTCAACAAGAGCTTGAAGCTCGGCATCAGGCTCAATACCCTCTATATCAGCACCACATAGTGGGCAGTCTTTAAAGCGTGATATACATGCCCTGCCAAGGAAATCCAGTAAGAACCTATTGAAGCAAGGAATGAAACATGAAGTGCAACTTAAGCTGGATGTGAGGCACGAGACACACTTGCAGAATTTATGGGCACATGGCTTGCATTTGCTACTCTCATGGAGCAGCGCCTGGCAGACAATGCAGCTGAGCGGACCCAGCTTGAATGTGTTGGAGTCATAGCCAAATGGGCATTTTGCTGGCACCATACGAGGATCAGTATCCTTTTCCTCACCATGATCACTGCTTTCCTTGAGCTCGCTACCATGATCCTTGCCAGTAACAGGGCATACACCACTGATGCTCTTGTCAGATTTTGCAGGGCACACCCCAGCGTTGCTCTTATCAGATTTCACAGGGCATACGCCGCCACCAGTGGTGGCTCCCGCGAAAGGGCAGAGCGAGCTCATGATTATTCACTCGTCCTTCCCTGCAGAACATGGGACAAGAAACATGAACTTGAAGATTTGGAGCACCAAATTTATCATATGATAGTGCAACAGAAATTCTATATGTATGTGTGCATAAGTAGAATCCAGGTATTGGTGCAGAAGCAGATTGTTGGAATCAAATCCCTAGGGTTGGCTCCCGAACTAACGACATAGTGAGAGCGAGAGTGAGATTATCGGTCTAGTTGGCCAGGAAGAGCAAACTACACAAAATTGAGCGAGAGTGAGATTATCTAGTTGGCCAGGAAGAGCAAACTACACAAAATTGTTGTTGGGCAAGCAAAGTCTCAGAGATCCAAATGATAACAGGAGCAATTCAATTCGATGGAATTGGGGAATACGAGGGCGAGCGAGCATTGAGGCGTTTGGTTGCAATTGGGTTGGTTAGCAGCACAAAGTGAGGGGCATTACGAGTAAATATGGAAGGAACTTGAAAACGAAGGCATGTGAAATTCAAAGTTCAGTAAATTTCAAGTGCATTACAGAGGATTTTGAGCATTGGGACACACAAGTTTCTAAGCTAAGATTTCAAAGTTTGAGTCGTATCGACCAAATTTCGGACCAGGTAGAAGAGGGCGAGAATCACCCACCGCGGCTACTCGCCTTCCCCGCGGACCTCCCCACGCAACGCCGAGACCAGGCCCGCCGTCCACCTCTGGGCGCAAGCCCTGCTGCCGATGGCGTCCTCTCGCACGGGGACACCAGAGACCACAAGGGCTCAGGAAGTCAGGACGGCGATTCGCGCGGCGGCGTGGATGTAAGGGCGCCCGGTCCTCGGAGAGAGAGAAAGAGTTCAGATTCCGCGGCGCGGGCGGGGCGGGGAGATCGACGACGACGCGACGGCGATATTCTGGTTGTTGTTGTTGGTTTCTTTTTTTCTTTTTCTTTTTCTTTTTTTGAGGTGAACAAGGTTGGTGTTTTTTTTTTAAGGAGGTTGCTATTTTCGGGCAAAGGCGAAAGAAGAGAAAGCGGCCACGAGCGCCAGGAGTCGTGGCTAACGGTTAGATGTGTGCCACGTGGGATGATCCGACGACCACGCTACTATAACCACCGTTAACGTGTACTTTTTTTTTTCTCGCACAAAAAACAAAGAAAGGAACATGGGCTGGACTGCCAGAGAAACAAAGGTCGGCCCAGCCCATTTGGCGGGCGTGGGCTCCTCCGGGTTGCTGCTGCTGTCGGGCCCCAGCGGCAGACAGCGAGGACAGGCTGACAGCAGGGGTTAATGCGCTGCCCGGTAGTCAAGGCGGGCTGAGTGCGAGTGGCTGGCCCACCTCTGCCTTTGGTTTGGTGCGATCTCATTTATGACGCGCGCAGTCTTCGCTCTTCAGTCATCGTCAGGATTTTTTTTTCCCTACTTCTTCCCCTCTCAATGCGGCGACTGACCACAGCTTTCTCCCCTCTCCAGTGGAGGCAGCGGGGTTAGCGAGCGGCCTCCGCTGCGGCGGCGACGGCGTGGGAGGGCCATGGCGGTCCCCGCACTCGCCTTCCCCATGTTCCTGGCTGCCTCCCTGCTCACCGTCGCCGCTCCTGTGCTGGCTCGGAGCCGTGAGTCGCCCTCTCCTTGCCGCTCCGCCCCCTCCCTTCTCCCTCTCTGCCTTCGAAGGCGGCTAGATCCACCGTTTCTTGTTTTAGCTACCGGTTCTAAAACGAGCCGCGATTGCTGGTTTCTTTCGTTGCTTGCGTCATCGGCCCGGATGTATTAGGAGTATTTTGTTTGCCATCGTGTATGTACTGCGTTGTAACCTGCTAATTCTCGAGAAATATGGAGATGCAATCTGTCTTCTAGTTTCGGATGGGGATTTTGCCTCACCACAAAGAGACTACAAGAGGAAAAAATAGACAGCAACCATTTCTTACTCCACTTTCCTCTTTAGCGCTCATCTTTACATTTTGGTCTGGCCGTGACTTTGCAATTTTCCGTCCACACCTAAGATATTGTTTATGTTTGTTAAAAGACAACTTTCTACTTCCCAATTCGTTATGTGGCTCGTGTGCATCATCGTGTGGCTGTCTTTAGTTTCTAGTTCACTTGCTCCTATCAGTAAATTTCTGAGTTTTGACATCAGCAACTTCAATTTTGTGCAGCATCTTGCCCTGATGGTTGGCAAGCGGGCCCTGTTCAGAACAAATGCTTCATGTACATATCAACCTCCCTTTCTTGGGATAGATCCAAGGCTCTCTGCCATAACTACAGCGGGCATCTGGCTGCATTATCATCAGTCCAGGAGCTAAACTTTGTGAAGTCTCTCTGTGGATCATCGTCCTCAGGATGCTGGGTTGGAGGGCATCACTACAACACCAATACTGGTAATGGTTGGAAATGGTCTGATGATTCCTCTGTTTGGAACGAGACTGTCTTTCTTGGTGAGCCATTGCGTGCCAACTGCAGTTATCCTGCATGCGAAGTAGCCACCAGCAATGATTTGTGTACTTTGGTGACCAGTGGTCGGGCTTCAATTATTATTACTGAAAAAAGGTGCAGCGAGTCCCATGGTCTGATCTGCATGATGAATCACGGTTAGTCTGTAATTTATTAAGACTTACCCATTTCGCTAAAAATGGTAGTTTTCTTTTCATGGCATTCGGATGAATCACAGTCTATTTTTTGTCATCAGTGGACAGATGCTACCATGATCACTGCCACAAGGAGTATTTCATCGCCATTATTGCTGTGAGTGGTTTCATTCTGGCAACCACTCTAGCCGTTGTGGTTTGGCTGCTTGTCTACAGGCGAAGCAAGAAAAGAAGAAGATCGCGAGAAGTGTTAAGTGCTTCAGCTGCCGCATTGGTGGCACCACAATGGAAAGTTTTCACTAGTGAAGAACTTAGATCAATCGCAAAGAACTTCAGCGAGGGAAACAGGCTTCCTGGTAACGCAAAGACAGGCGGAACCTATAGTGGAATCTTACCAGATGGATCCAAAGTAGCAATCAAGAGACTTAAGAGATCCAGCCTGCAAAGGAAAAAGGACTTCTACTCTGAGATTCGGAGAGTTGCAAAGCTGTATCATCCTAATTTGGTGGCTGTAAAAGGATGTTGTTATGATCATGGTGATCGGTTTTATTGTCTATGAGTTTGTAAAAATGGTCCTTTGGATGTGTGGCTGCACCATGTTCCCGGGAGGGCGGAGCCTTGATTGGGCAATGAGAATGAGAGCTGCCACAACTCTTGCTCAGGGATTATGTAAGTCATCCTTCCCAGGAAATACTGTCCTTACTGTGAATTCTCTTAGGTTGTTTCCTCAAGACATTGAAATAGTGGCCGATGAATGTGTTAGGCTTCTTATATTCTAGCTGGATTTGTTTTTGTTATCCAATTTTTTTGTTCCACACTATCACTCTTTTTATAATTTCCACTAACATTTGACCCATGCATAGACTTATGAATATATTTTACTGTGCGCTAGTGTTCATGCAGATTTTGCATAATGCTCGCATAAAGAAAAAGGATGTGTTGGTCCACTCTAGTTCATAACCTGGTCTGGTATTATTGGATGGCTTGTTTTACCCATAGTCACTAGATATCTGTATCAACCGGGTGGAGGAACGGGGTCGCCGGAACATGGGTTGGCACTTAATAAAAGTACCATACGAAGGGGATATACCTCCTTAGGGCGATAGTTTATGGACATGGTATGTGATCCTAGGTATTCTGGGCTGCTGACACCAGGAGGAAGCAGGATTGAAATGCAAAGATCCATGCTGTGAACCCACAGATAAATGAATCACATGCCTTAAAGGAAAAAAAATAAAGAAAAGGAAAATGAATATAAAGGATAGTTGGCCTGACATTTCATGTACCAGTACCACCCAGTCCATCTCAACCTTGCCTTGCCTTCCCATCTAACCCTATACTGAATCTCCCACGCACGCACAACCTCCTCCATTTCATCTTTCCATTGCTGTTCTCCATATCTCTCCTTCCACAGCACAGGGACTGCCATGCCTCCTCAATCCTTCACAACAGTACCATCTCCCATCGCATCTGAAGGTGGCAGCACAAGTTCCCCATTAATTCTTGGCTGCAGCTCCACCTCCCATTGTCCCCATGGCAGCAGCGCCACTCAATCCCATTCATGATTCGCTGCAGCAGCAGTTGCAGCATCTTGTTGTTAGTTTCTCCTAGCATCTCTAGCTGGAGCTGATGACCCTCGCAAAAAAAAAAGCGACATCGACCCTGTGCAACCACAACCCTTGTATTGTTATGATGCCCTGGGTCATGGAACACTCCTCTAACTGCACTCCTGTGATTATTGTTTTACCATATTACATGAAACATATACCAACACCATACTAGTTTCTATTTTGTCATTTGTGGCTTAAATTCATTAGTGTATTTATGGTTGCTTTTAAACATTTACATGGTACCATGCATTGGAAGGCCGTTTGGCATACTTGTTTTAACTTACTATAAACTATAAATAATGATTATTATGACACGTGTTCTGTAGTGTTGAGTCATACAGAAAATTTATACAGTCACTAAACACTTCTGATTCATAAGTTTTGTTTACCTTCTATCGAACTGGAATAAGCTCAAATTACTTAGTATGCGAGCTGTCTGTATCTATTTTGTCTTTGAGGCCTTATATAAGTATTCCCCACTCACTGCAATCAGTGTTCTATATCTTTATTATTTACTACTGTTCATTTAATGCAGATTCTTGCACGACAAGGTAAAGCCGCAGGTGGTGCACCATGATATCCGTGCAAGTAATGTCTTACTTGATGAGGAATTTGGCTCACATCTGATGGGGGTCGGCCTTTCAAAGTTTGTGCCATGGGAAGTAATGCATGAGAGAGAACTGTCAAGGCCGCATCCTATGGCTACCTTGCTCCTGAGTTTATATACAGGAACGAGTTGACAACAAAGAGCGGCGTCTACAGCTTTGGTGTGCTTCTCCTAGAAATTATCAGCGGTCGTCGCCCTGCACAGTCAGTTGAGTCTGTTGGGTGGCAGACCATATTTGAATGGGCAACTCCTCTAGTGCAGTCTCACCGCTATCTTGATCTGCTAGATCCACATCCAGGAATTGCGGATACAGGAGTTATCCAGAAGGTTGTCGATCTTGTCTACTCCTGCACCCAACATGTTCCTTCAGTGCGCCAAAGGATGTCGCATGTTGTGCATCAACTACAGCAGCTTGAACTGAAGTCTGCAGCGTCTGAGCAGCAGCTAAGGAAGCGGGACAAGCACCAGCGCAACATCTCCAATGTTGCCATTGGAGGTCCGGACTCCGCGCTGAAATCCACTGCCAGAAATTGAGAACCTTTTATGTACTCCAGCTTTAGTCAGCACTCCGTAGGTGGTAGCACATTCTTTAAGAGTGTATAATGACCCAAGAGCCACCATTATCTTAATCAGTAGTTTAGTCTCCCCAAATGCTGATGGGGTAAGTTGTAGTCATTTGTACTCAGGTTGACCTCTAATCTTCTACATATCTCATGGGTTTTGTGTAGTGCCCTAAAGAAGCTTTAGGCCTATGCTCTGAAGTCTGAAGAAGCAACTCATCTGTATTTGACAGAGTAATATCAGTAGCTTGTAATACTTCATATCTACACAACTAGCAGTTTGGTTTCTATCATATTTACATTTGACAGCAAAAATATACCAGTATCGGCATTCAGGGCTGCACGTGCATTTATCATCTCTCTACGTATTCACGATCCCAGGTGCGAAAGCGTGTTCTTGGTCTGCACAATTATAGCTGTAGCTAAGCATGAGCATGCGCCGAGGTCAGGTCAGGTAGGGAGCTTTCTCCTAAGCCTGTTGAAGGAAGGTCGCAGCGGCTGGCTTGCGCTCGGCTCACGCAGCAGCAACGGCTTCTTGATCTGTTTACTGGCAGGTGCCAGTGCCGCGCCTGTGCTGGCCTTGCTGATGTTCGCTCTCTGCTTCTTCGCCCTGGGGGGCTCCAGCCTCTCCATAATCCTTGAAGTCTTCTCATCCAGTGGCTTCACTAGAGACGGTGGCTTGGGGCGGGGAGATTTGTCAACAGCAGGCCTGGGATGGGCAGGGCTGGCAAAGTCGTCGTCGAGGTCGTCGATGATGATGAGCTTCTCCCACTCACTGATGCTGGGAGAGGCCTTCCCCTTCTTGGACTGGATCGATAGCTTGTTCTTGCTTCGAGTTATGAATGTTGATGTCTGAGGCTCGCTGAACGAGTGCAGAAGGTCGTTGAGACCTCCAGCCGCGTCCTCAGGTTGGTCCAGGAACATGCTTTTTCCAGGTCCTGACATATTTGGTGCCTGAGGTTCGCTGAAGGAACCAACGTTGTGAGGTCCTTCAGGGCACAGGATGGAGCAATTGATCTGCAAAATGAAGTCGATCCAATCATGGGACATCTTATTTGGCGATCGTTTCCAGGATCAATCATGATAGCAAGCAACGAAAGCAAGCAAATAACTGAAACCATGTATCTGAAGGAACAAAAAATGTTGCATAACCAGCGACCGATGAGGAGATACCCAAATTGCAGGCTGTCCTTCACCAAGCGATTCAGTTCTGAATGAAAGCCTCTTTCATGATGCAGAGGGTTGTAATCCTTGAGGATAAGCTGAAGAAATCAGTTGCCAGATATTAGTTAATGTGGGGGTAAGGAAGCTTCTAATAGTATGAGGAACAAGTTTATAGAGGCGTGAAGCGAGGAAGCTACTATTCGTATAGAGAACATGGAATGAAAAATCATTAGATTATGGCGTAGTCACAACCAGAAAAAAATAGTGATCCAGCGACATACCTTAGACAAAGAGGTTTCGATTGAATTCTTGATTTCCATGGTAATCTTAGAGCTGCAATCTCGAGTCACGTCTGGGAGAGGTAACATCTCTTCAGATCCAGCAAGTCTCTGCAGCATGATGTGTTCCAATCATTAACGCAAGCCGATAACAGACCACAAATACTTTCTATTCTGGTAACTTATAAGCATCTAAAGTAGAAGCTTTATGACAAAGATAGTTATTCAAAGTTAGGAATCCAATCCAATATGGTTTTAGGCTACTACTCCTACTACAGGCGGTGAAATTTGCCTTTCACTACATCACAAATCAAAATAGAACAGGGGGGGGGTGTTGCCTTTACCCTCAGAAGCATTGGTCCTTTCTCAGATGGTTGGAAGATAGTAACACTGAAGAGTTCCAATTTGCATCGTTTCAATATTGCATGATGAAGAGCAAACAAGTCCCTGGTCAAGCTTGAAAAGAGTTTCACATAGACCATAGAAAACTGCACAGCATAGATAATATTGACATATCAGTATCGCTTTGAGAAGCTAGAGATACATCATAGTACATAAACTTGAAATACTAACTTTGGATGTTCTGATCTGAACTCTCATCAATTAGAAAGCTTCAACATCATTTGAACTGGGGATCACAACATAAGACCTCCCCATTATGCTCCTGTTAACACATGTTGTCATTTAATTTACAAAATATTTGTATCTGAACAGAAAGCAGTCGTGGGTACCTTCATTCATTGAAGCTAATTCAGTGCGCTCAATTACATCAAAAAATGGAAGTAGATACTGCGCTGCAAGTTCGAACTACCTTCCGAAGTAGGCAGAAACAATACTGTTTGTTCTCCAATTCTCACAGCAGTATCAGTAACATCAGAAGCTGCAAGCTGTCGATTAGTTATTGGACACGTCCATTTTGCCTTATTTGGGGTGACAAGGTCAATAGGGTGACCATGGCACTTGCATGCCCTGTTGAGTCAATGTGTTCTGTGTTAGCATAGCTGTTGAGGAGGCTACAGAACTGTGAATAGGAATCATGGATACGTAATTGCCATTATCTGAAGGAAATAAAAGTTGAAAAAAAACGATGATAAAATCACCAAAATATATGCAGAAGTTCCTTTTTATCAGTCATATTCTTCCACTAATTAATAGGTATATAGAACAAACTCAATGCTTGCAAGTCACAAAAATGAACATTGAGCAGTGAAGGGAAACGTCAGACTCAGATATGTTCTGTCACTGAACTTTTGAATTAAATAGTGAGTGGTGTTATAAAATGACTCATATCACCTGGCAAGGTGGAAACCATCAGTTATCTGGTTTGCTGATGCACACAGGTTGCAATATATGTTTAACAGAATCAATAATGGGATCTCTGAACACAAATACAGCTTGTAGTGTATCCTCCTTGTCATTTTTAGCTCTTCTAACCAACCTCTTCACTAGCCCATGCAGAACCTGGGTCTCTGCAGTTCCAAACATATAGCAAACATATATGAGTGTTAGGTTACCTTACATGCAAGAAGTGTTGAATGTTAACCTGGTATAAGGAACTCCTAATATGGAAGTGATAGTTGTGCAAGTCATTCATCAAAATGTAACTCCATGATAGTATGATCATAAAATTATATATAGAAAACAAACTAAATAGCATGACCATGTTATGATTTGTAGGTTGATCAGGAAAGATCATCTTATTATTCTAACGCAAACAACAAAAAACCAGTATATGGTTACTAATATCATGAGACTTCCTTACCAGGATTGTATCTCCGTCGACACAGTTTTCAAGATCACAAATTCTGTTTACAAAAGAATTGGCATTTTCAGAAGCACCACCATACATGAATGCAGCTTCTGCTTCCAACATTATAAAAATCCACCGCAACACACTGTTCTGCTGCGTCCTGATGACAATACAAGACAGTGATCAGAGGATGCTATCATAAATATCAAGGAGTTAACCTTTCAGAAAAGTACAAATTATTATGCTAATACCATAAGAGATCTTCGGAGAGCTTCTGTATTTTGTGCAGACATACATATAGCAATCACTTTCTTGGAGATGTCATCAGTAGCCCAAGAATAGATGGCTTTTGTTGCTAAAAAGGTTTATTAGTGACACATCTGTGCATAAGAAACAGGATCAGGTGTTTGCATCTGAAGATCATTATCCTGTTAAAATACATGCATATTCACAATATTTATGTGCTTCTGAGTTTGTTTCGATCTTATACCCATCAAACAATGAAACAAGAAGATCATGGGACCAATATAACTGTCATTACCTCCAGTAGGCAGAGATCCACCATGTTGGTCAGCAAGAAAGCCATCCAGAGGTATGTTATTTACTGCATGGTGGAAATCTCGTAGACTGAATTTTCTCCAGGCCTATACCCAATCTTTAGCTGAACCAAATTCAGATGTTAGAAAATACTAATATGACTGTCAGAATAGTAGGAAGCATGGAAGTATCTGCATTAAAAAAAGCGCTACAAACAGGATGAGCTGTGCGAACATATCGCTATGTTCGCAAGTAATGTATGTACAATGTGAATTGTCATCAGTTAAGTTGTCCAGAGACAGCAAATGCATATGCATCTTACTTT